CCCGGGGAGCGGGCGGGCACGGGGTGCCCCGGGCAGGTACTGCCTGCCGCCCGCCCGGCCCCGCGGAGGGTCCCCGGACACCTCGTCCCCGGCCCGGCCCCAGCGCGCCACCACTCAGGGACGGCCTCAAGCCACCGGAGGGGAAGTGCCAGCCCCTCCAGGCTGGTCCGCTCCGCACCGAAGGAACGAAGGAGTCACTGGGCCAGCAGCAGAGCCCCGGGCAAGCCTGACTGCCACGAGGGTTTTCAGGCTTCCAAAAGTCACAGCACCCGTTTACGTCGCTTCTTCTGCCGCACAGCCCCAGTCCTGGCCAAGACCCCGGGCCCAGCCCTGACCCCACAGCTCTGGCACGCTCCTGTCCCTGGCGCAGCCGCCGCTGCCCGCTGTCTTCGTGGAAGCCCTGCTGCCCGATCGCACAACCCCAGCACCCTGCCGAAGTCCGCTGGAAAGCCTCCGCTCTGCCTGGACAGGAGGGCACTCGGCAGGCCACGGGGAGTCCTGCTCCGACAGTGCTTGATGTGTTTTATCCTAAACAGACACTGGCAAAAACTATAACCAGCAGGGACCAGACTCAGACCATTCTTGCCCTCTGCCTAACAGGGCCACTTGTTAGCACCGTTAGGTCCAATGAGTCCAGAAGGGTGCCCCAGCCACTCCTGTCCCCTCTCTGATGGTAACCTCAAGGTCCCAAAGGTCCCCTTGGTAGGATACAGCCCATCCCATTGAGCTAACTTTTCTAACTGCTCTGTTTTGCTTTCTCTCTTGGGCCCCAAGAAGCTTTAGTTCATTGATGCAGGATGGAGCAGCTTCAACAGAATCCCCTCAGGCAGGTAAAGGAGGAAGTGAACCAGGGTCCATTGTATCACGAGTGAATGGCTCGGCTACTGATCCTGGTGGGACAGCAATACCACTTTCTCCTCTGGCTGTCTTAATAAAAGCAAGCCCTGCTTTGTTTTTTGGAAAGAAAGGGGCTCCAGGAGAGGCCCCAGGCTGTGTAAATAAGTGGCTCCGTTCCAGAGAAGGTCAGTGTATAGGATGCAGCCCTGGTCTCAGCATTTCTTATTGGCTAGGTCAGGTGGCCTCTGCTCGAC